CCTTTTCTTGAATCTCTGGACGAGCAGCCAAGTCATATCCAACGTAATTCATGGTGACACTGGATGTTTCGATACCATCAAGGTAGAAGGAAACTGCGTGGGCTACTACAATCTCTTCGGCGATGTGCTCTCCTGCTTTCTCCATGTCGATCATTAATTGAAGGAAATCTTTCCTAGGTATCGATTCGCTTCTTCTAACTTGCAAATTTTCTGCGACGACCTTTCTGAAAAATTGATCCACGTGTTTAGGCAGGAATTTGATCTTCAAAAAACGATTGACAGTAGGAAAGTGGAATCTGATTATAGATAATAAGGATTCGGCGAATGCTTCTCCAGAAAGTTTATCGAATGCATTAGGACGTGGTTCATCTTCGAAACAGTAACCCTCGATACCTAGGCCAGCGTTCGCCACAATTTCACCAGTGAATTTTAAAAATAATGCTTTTAATTCGATTTCGTACTTGTTGTTTTTTTCTAGTCGTCTGTTCAAGAAATTTTCGAATTTCTTACACACTCCGTTAACAGCTGTAAACAGGATCTTCAATCTCACGTTAGAAAACGCATAGGTTATACGTTTTCTTCCAGTTAACCATATATCTCCGGAACAGAAGAACGGATTTGTATATAAAAGAGGATCCGCGTTTGGATCGACATGAAATCCATTTTCGTGGAAGCTGGAGAAATTATTTTGCAGTACGGCTTTCACTAACTCAGGGTCCCGAACAACTAGTGCTGGCACTATCCCTTTGTACACTCCAACCATACTGTAATCTTTGTAATCTTCGTATATTTGACGAATAAGTCCGGCAAGATTCATTCTTCTTATTACTACGGGTAACAAGTGGCCCACGATTGGAATACATCCTTTGGCAGTTGGAATTCCATTTCTCTTCCAATGATTGTATACCAGATACAAATAAAAACAGAATAGTAAGAACGCTCCTATAAGGAGCGTGACAAATGCAGAAGCCATATGTTACTCACAGAGATAATATCGTTAAATTACTATTCCCAATTACAACTACTCCAACAGTTTCAAAAGCACAATGTAGAATGATCGTCGTATTGCAGTGTAATTCTGTCTAAGCTTTAATGCCCAAAATGATTCTCCCACTCTAGTTGCCTTAATACGTATTATATTATGAAATCAAACTTTTTGGCCACAGTTGTTTATCTGAAAAATGTAAAAAGCGGACATATTACATACGTTTATCTATTTCACAATTGTTTTGTTTTATGGTGATAACACTTGGAGGAAAACAATACAGTACATATACATATTATTTATATATATAACTAGTTATTAATGTTTACTAATTACTATTGTTTAATATCAATATATTTTCTAGATTAATAGCCTTTTTACGTAATTTATAATTAAGAAAGATCATTATTTTCTTATATATGATTTTATTCAAAAAAACAGATTAGGGCTCGTTGTAGATTCTCTACACTTCACGGACCCCATTGGGAATACCTAATTGTAATACGTAACAAGAAAAATTAATCACGTTAAATTAGATATATTCCTGTTAAAAAGTCTTAATCTCCCTTCAAAACACCTATCAATATGCTAAACAGTTGTGCAAAAAATATGTAGCAAATAAAATTTCGAATGACGCGACCTTGAGATATGCGAGCCTCATTCCTAGAAACTATACGACATTTTAAAGATACACCCATTGTTTAATAGTCGGTTGTCACATGTCACGCCTACGTCACGGTTATCTCTCTGCCGTGCTATTTCTTATCTGGTTAGCTAAGCATTGAGTACATCTATTTTATGTTATAGCTCTACTATTCATAATGCAGTCGTCATGTCGAAGCAATGATCTTTATGAAAGCTAAAGAGTCTAATGAACCCATTAGAATCTCCGAATGCCTGTTCGTTTTTACGCTAGAGAAACTATCTGAAAACTGTTTTGTGTTACGAGAAACTCTTACTCTATTCCGTTTCGAAATGCAATAGATCAGACAAGACGAATTACCTGATTTTTCAGATTCTTGTTTGTCAACCTACCTCTTTTTTACATATTTCATTTTAACTCAAATGAAATTGATGAATTTGTAATTTCGCCATTTACCGTTTGACAGTGTAATAAAATCACGAAGCATTCTGAATGAATAATTTAGAGAGTAATTCTTCTTTATCTCTTCATAACTCTTCTGTATATCTGATGTCTCAGATACAAAAACTACATACTTTTAATCTTTTTACCTGAAACTTAAAAAATAAGAAATGAACAGTAATAATCACGTTATTTGAAATGTGGAATTTATGCTACTATATTTCATAGTTTACCTGAATCTGATACAGGTTATACAAACAATTTTAAAAAATGCCTGATTAAGGGACGAATCAGAATACCAGAATGTGTATATATACGTAACATAGATATATAAATAATATATATTTGACGAAATCATTGTACTTACACAGCAACGCTGATCAGAGGAAACCAATTGGGCAATTCGAACGACTAGCTTTCTTATAAACGGCATAAAGATCGGCACTCGACATACTCATCATTTATTTTATTCTATTTATTCGTCTTCCATGCTCATATCGCGTTACGCATTTTCTATACTAATCCGATAATGCCAAATATTCCGCTGCAATAAGATGTATATAATACGAGATCTTAAATTATCATAAGGTACACAACAATAATAGAATCACGGTAATTTCTTTTTATTATCATGTGTTTTAAAAGAACAAAAAACAGGCGTATACAATTACATTATTTTTTTACTTCCTTATATAGAGATACATTTCCATACAAAAATATCCAACATAGCAAGAATAATAATTTGGCTTCGTACAATTTTGTATTGTATAAACATAATTATGAATTTTTAGAAACATTACAGCTTAGAGATATGTACCCAAACACCACCATCTATTTCCGACAGAAGATACTTCGGCGATATTTTCGGTGGCACTTGCGTTTTTGGTGATAATTCCAATCTGTAGTTTCGCAGCAAAGTAGCTATACACGCCTTCACCTGTAGCATAGCTATTTTTATACCAACGCAAATTCTTGGACCCTCGCCAAAAGGAAGGAATGTCATTTTTTGTATAGTTTGCTTTCTCTCTTCGTCGAATCGTTCCGGATCGAAAACTTCTGGATCGCGCCAATACTTTGGATCGTTATGTAATGCGTGGATGGGTATGATTATGTGCTCACCAGGTTTCGCGCGATAGGTCAATCCATCTGACCCTTGTAACTGGAACTCCTCTGTGCAAATTTTACGCATGAAACCTAGAGCTGCGTGACATCTTTGAGATTCGCAAATTACTTGGTTCATGTACGTCATCTCCTTTAACGCCTCGTACGTCAAACCGCCGTGCTTCTCGATCGTAGATATCAC